CTGACACCTCTTGCTTTGAATTACTGCATCAAAATGTCTGTGCTGTTGCAGTCTTGAGTATGCTGTTCAGGTGTGCGTGTCTGTAAGCTGCAAACCTACGATGACGCAGCAGCAGCAGAACTGGAAGAAGCTGAAGACAGCCAGTTCCACTGCGGACCTGATAGAAGCCCTCCGGAGGCCTGATCTGGCCCCTGAACCACATGTTTGACACCCCTGATTCAGACCTTCTGATGAAGGGAGCTTTGGCTCCCAAAAAAACTCTACCCCGAGAACCACGTTGGCCTTGGAGGTGCTACGGAACTCAAACCGAGCTGCCCTGAACACGGCTCTGCCCTCTGGAACCGGGGAGATGAGCCTGAACGGTCACCTGGCCAGGTGAGGAATGAGCACCGGGGCAGGATGCGTTAGGATTTGGGGGGGGGGCTAGTTCGCATTCAGGCAGTTCGGGAGAATTTGTTTTTTGGCATTCATTGGGAGTCTCTGGAGAATTTATCCTCTGGGGCTGAGGAATCCGTATAAAGAAGGCGAAACGAAGCACTGGATCTTGGCTGCCTTAAAATCTTCATAGTTGCGTCGTCAGAATGAAGGAGCTGGATGGGATTTGAGCTTTGTGTCTGATTCCTTTCAACGGGGATTTTGTTTATTCTGCACTAAGGATAAGAGAGTCCCTTGGACTGCAAGAAGATCAAATCAGTCAATCCTAAAAGAAATCAACCCTGACTGTGCCCTGGAAGGCCAGATAATGAAACTGAAGCTCAAATACTTTGGCCACCCAATGAGAAGGGAGCACTCACTGGAGAAGAAGACCCTGATGCTGGGAAAGACTAAAGGTCAAAGAAGACGGGGATGGCAAAGGATGAGATGGTTGAACAGTGTCATCGATGCAACGAACATGAAGTTGAGAAAACTTCAGAGGACGGCGGAAGACCGGAAGGCCTGGCGGGATCTGGTCCATGGGGTCGCGGAGAGTCGGACTCGACTGTGCGACTGAACAACAACAAAGGATAAGAGATCCCTTTTCGTTCAGAGTTAGCTGGCAGTCAACACTTCCCGACAACCGCTGCAGGAGAGGCGGCCCTGGGTTGAACCCGAGACTCTCGGCACGCAAAGCGAACCTTCCCCACTGAGCCATGATGACCCCTCTCTGAAGGCAGGGGGTACTTGTCCAGCAACAAGATATTGCCAAAATCTCAGACTGCCCCCTCCCCAGGCCTTTTCCCCTTACCTGAAAGGGCCTTGGGTGCCCCTGTCTGTCCCACTGCCCCCCCCCAGCACAGGCAGTGATCGCTTTTGAGGAGTTCAGCCGAAGCACGAATTAGGACTTCCCATAAGAGCATCTGCCCCTCTCCTGACCCTTGACGCAGCCAGTGTGTCCAACCAGGGAACAAGGAGCTGTGAAATAAGCTTGCGGCCGGACTAGGGTTGCCAACGCTTGGTTGCAAAACACCTGGAGATTCTGGGGCCTGGAGCCGGGGGAGGGGGCCGGTGTTTGGGAAGGACGGCCGACCTCCGGGTGGTGAAGTCAAGGACGAGAGATCACAGGACAGGCTGAACTTCGAAAGAAAAACAACCGTGATATGATAACAGAACCTTGCAAGGGAAAAATATACCTTCTTTAATTATCCAATGAGTAACAAATCATTAAAGGTGTTTCTGAAGCAGTAATCTAGAAGGGAGCGGATTGCTGCTGGAGGCAGCACCTTCCAATCCGGAGAGAGCTGCAGGTGAGCGCGGGGACCCAGCTGGGACTCGGAAGGACAGGAGCAGAAGGCACAGCGTGGCGGTGTGTGCGTGGACAGAGGAGAGCAGGCACCCCACCCCCCAGCATGGCGGGAGAGACAGCAGGGCGCCAGAGGTGACGGAGGGGCGGATTCCATCACAGGACAAGGCGGGACCAACCACATTAGGCAGCCGTGTGTTCTTTGGCTGGCTCCTCCTCGTATGGAGGGGGCCCTTGTGGAGGGGCCGCTTCCGGATCCCCGACTGGGACGTAGTCCTCCTCACTGTCAGCCTGCAAATAGAGGGGAAGAGTAAAGAGGAGTCCCTGCTCGGGAAGGAGACAAGATGGCCAGCTGGCCTCCTGCCCCGCAGAGTCCTAGCTTAGCTGAGGCAAGGGCCGCCGCTTCAAGAGGGCCTGGACAAACCTTGTGAGTCAGCTCACAAACATTTCTCCTGGGAAGGTTTGCGAAGGCCTAAAAGCCATGCCCTCGACTTGCGGGAGGCACTCTCCATCCCAAAGGATCTCACATCCTCCCTCCCTCCCCACCCGCCATGCGCCCTCTCCAAATATTGTGTAATTTGAATATATTTATGCTTTTATGGAAGCCACCCTGAGCCCACTTTGCGGGGAGGGCAGGGTATAAATTTGAAATAAATAAATACCCGCAGGCCTGCAGCAAAGAGCGCGCAGGCCGTATCCGAAGCAGAAGAGGGCGATTCCCAGGGCAGCCACGGAGAAAATCAGCAGCAGGATCTGAACGCCACTGAAAATGTTCTGAGGAGGAAGAGCAAAAAAGGATTGGCTTTAGGAAGGCCCACAAGAGTCCCTCTCCAACACCTGCCTCCGCCTCGTCTACTTGTTCCAGCTCTTGAGGACACCCTGTGGACGGGCAGAGGCTCATGGACCAAATCTGGAAAGTCAGAGCCTTTGACTTGGCACGTGTAGCAGTAGCTACAAGGTCGCTGACCTGGTCTTGCTGAGCTTGCAAGCTAACCAAGGGCACGAGCACTTTTCAGCTGACCATGAACTCTGCTTAGAGTTACTTTCATCTTGGAGAGCTGACTGAAAGAGTTACAGAAAGTTAGTTGTTGTAGGTTTTCTGGGCTGTATGGCCGTGGTCTTGGCACTGGACAATGCCAAGACCACGGCCACACAGCCCAGAAAATCTACAGCTAATGAACACCGGCTGTGAAAGCCTTTACAGCATAGTTACAGAAAGGCTAGCTGAAAACTTTTTAATCCGAGGTTGAGATCGGCCTTCTTATCTTGCTGTATCAGAGGTAACTCATATGCACATGCGGATTGGCTCATTACAAAATATGAGATAATGAACAATCAGTTATCTAGATAATTTATTTCATTTATCTGTCTTTGGATTGATATCCCGCCCTACCCCGAAGGCTCACATGATTAAGGTAGACTCTTATGCACATGTGGATTATTAAAATAACTCATATGCACATGCGGATTGTTCATCATCCCATATTTTGTTTTGAACCAATCAGTTATCTAGATAATAATCACATGATTAAGATCGACTAGATTTAGCGAAATATAAGACTGATGTTTATCTATAAAAATGCACTCTGTGACCAGCCAATCAAGAGTTTTCTAGATTGAAGTCTCAGACGAAGACTAGATGAGATTTCTGGGTTCTTGACAATCCTCAAGGCAGTGAGACAAAAACCTGATTGGCTTTTAAGCTATTATTTGCTATAATTAGATTAAGCAGCTCTAGAACTTTCAATAATGTTTGCATTTGCCTTCACAGCATTTGTAGGGTGTATGCTTCTGCCCCCCCCTCACCGTCTTGCTCAAGAAAAAAAACAATTTCTCATCTCAATAAAAGATAAACGTTTCTACAGGTTCTCTGTCTGGCTTGCTGGTTACATTTCAAAGAACTGAACTTACTCCCATTACTCTTATCTATTATCAGAATTAAATTTTGATACCCTTCTTTAATAGATAAATCCTGGAGAACTCAGCTGCTAAATCAGTCCTTTGCATAGGCAAGCCTTTATAAGTGTTGAGTTCAGGTCCTGTGACTAGATGCGGGAGGGACCCTCTTCTCACGCAGGGGCCGGGAGGCCTCGGCAGTCCCTTTGGTGCCAGCAGGGGCAGAAAGCAGGGGCAGAAAGCAGGGGGAGGTCTCAGGGCCCCCCCCCGAGCTCCCCCTTCCGCAGGATCCCCCTTTCCTTCAACGTCACAGGAAGAAGCCCAGTCCGGGGTTCATGCTGCCCTCTCCGACATCGGCTCTAGCCCATGGGTTCAGAGGTGGCCCAGGCAGAGGTGGCCAGTGAGAGTTCCTGAGGACGGAGTTTTGCTTTGGAAATGCAACACATCTGGTATAAGTCACCACGCTGGGCTGGCTGGTGGCTCCCTCCCCATCCAAGCAAAGGCTCAGCCGGATTCAGCCCTTCTTTCTCCTTTCATCGCTGGACTCCCAAAGCCCAAACAACTTTCCTCTTGGAGGAAGGCAAGGAGAGTTTCACGGATAGCTGCCCTCGCACCAAAACTAAGCAAAGCTCAACTTCATTCAAAAGCAGCCAGCCTTCTGCACTCACTAGAGGGCCAAACTAGACGTGTTTGTTTTTAAAGAGTGTGGTTTGGGCTCCGGCAGCAGCACAGCCGCCCTTAGGGGAAGGGTTGTTATTATTTATTTTTTTTAAAGAAAAAGACAGGAGAGCCCAGAGGCGCCTGGAACTGTGCCATATGGAAGGGCTCCTGCCTTCCACTGCAAAGCTGCAGAGATGGCACTGGGGTGGGGGGACTTATTTCCCCATATTTGCTTCTCCACTGGCACACATACTCTGCACGGAACAGCAAAAGATGGGGAAGGGAGTCCTCTCGAGCGCTGCTTTGGCATGTGAAAACATCTCGGTGTGTGAGTGTTGGAGGATCCTTCCCTTCCCTTGCAGCGGCATTCTGAGCCCAAAGGGGCTCTCCTTTATTTTTTAAAAGCTGTTAACTGTAAGCGAGTCTGGTTTGCCCCCCCCCCCAAAACACAGATGAGCTCTCGCTGGTTCCACGCCCTTCCCTCCGGGCCGGGAGGACCACTGACCTAGCCAAGGACAGCCAGCAGCACATCTGGCAGGCAGAGCTCTTAGAACTCTGACACACACCCCTCCCAGAAGGTGGCCAGGAGGGCCTGGGGGTGGGGGGGGGGGGGAGAAAGAAAATGTCGGGGGGGGGGTTAAGCCCGTGGAGCCCCTGCCCTTGGGGGGACACTAGAGGAATGGCTCACAAGGTGGTCTCCAAACCGCCCCCCCCCCTCGGTCACTCACTCACTCACCCAGCAGCAGCCCCCGCGTCTCTCGCTCAGCACACAAAAGGAGCCGGACACCACAAACTGCAAAGGAAAGGACACTGTGGGTGGTGGCGGCAAGACCCTCCCCACTTCAAGGGGGGGCAACCTCCCATTTTTCCAGCTCTGGCCAAGTTATAAAAGCCCAGCCCAAGGGATCTGAACCCCCCCTCCCATTCCAGAGCCCCAAGGCAGGGTCCTTCCCTCTGGGCCCCCTGAGCTGGGAGGGAAAGGAGCCGGGCCTCTGACCCCTGGATGCCCAGGCCACAGGGACCCTCCCCACCCTGCCAGGGCCTGGATGCCCCTTTCGGAGCCCTCCCTCAGCACTCACCAGACTCCCCATCCAGAAAGGGGCCCCTGATCCTATCACTGGAAGGTAGTCATTCAAGAGAAAGATCGCCCCCCCGAGGCCCAGGCACATCACTCCAAGCAGGATCTGGACCCCCTGCAAGGGGAAAGACAACCCGGTCAGCGCCAGGGGAGGGGGCACTCACGGGGCAGCCCCTGGGGAACCACAGAGGCAGGGGGATCTCTTCATCTCTGCCCCCCGTCCCTTTCCCCCTCACTGACTGTCAATCCACTCTGCAAGTGAGAACCCGCCCTGAAGGCCAGAGAGGAGAGGCCTCTGAGCATGTACAGAATGCCCTGCCCTCGGGCCCAGAGGCTGAGCGTCAGCAGCTGATCGAGACGTAACTGCCCGCCTCTCGCCTGGTGCAGAGACTGCCTGGTGTTCCGGGCCCAGACTGAGCTCCGGCACAGGAAGCCAAGAGTGCCCCTTCCTCCGCAAGCAGTCCCTCCCCTCATGCCCCCCCCCATGGCCTTACCCCCAGCACTTTCTGCTCCCCGGTACATGGGGCTCTGCCAGGGACCGGGGCCGAAGGCTTTGGGGTCTTGGGAGCAGGCGCCTTCTGCCGGGGCCACTTCCGTCCTGCGGCCGCCACGGCCTTGACCAGGTAGGCCAGCGAAGACTCCTGGCAGATGTTGACGTTCACGACAGTCCTGCCGGATCCCTCGACGGAGGCCTCGGCCCCGTTCACCTTCACCAGGCTGGCTGCCATCGCACCCTCTGCTCAGGAGCCCGAGGAGAGCAGCAGGACACACCTGGGGGGACATAAGAACATAAGAGATGCCAATGTTGGATCAGGCCAAAGGCCCATCCAGTCCAACACGCTGTGTCACACAGTGGCCAGAAATACCAGGACGGACGGACGGACAGAAAGAGGGATGCCGAACAGTGAGACGGAGCATGTCAGATCCTAGATAAGGAGTACTCAACCACAGTCTCTGGAGTAAAATGAAGAGCTTCATTCAAGTTCTAGGCATTGACTTGATCTGTGTCAGATCTAAAGCTTTCTGGAGCGCACAAGCCAAGAGATGGATGATTCAGAAGACATCCCTCCTCAGACCATTGCATAGCATACGTCACCCATTCAGCCCGCCAAGCTTTGAGCCGCACGCTCTCATGCATTCGAGGGTGAGCCTCTTTTGGCCTTTGCTTGCCTTCTGGGTTTTTTTCCTTCCATCTTATATAGGACCTTTCTTCTTCCCTCTCTTACCTGGGCTTGGAGCTGTAGCAAGTTAACCTTTCTGGAAGTTAATCTGTTCACAATACATAAATGTGCCTACAGGAATATGTCATGTAAGATGTTTATAAGAAAAAATTTCTTTCTCTTGGCACCATTGGAGTCAGGTCATCTTTGTAATTTGTTGGGACACCATATTTCCCTTAACCAGAAAACGTGGAAGATCAGCAGGCCCAGCCCGAGGTTTTTTTGCGCCCTAGGCGGGGCTAGCTTGTGCTGGGGCCCCCCAGGTTAGGTTGCCTTGTGGCGCCCCCCCCTCTTCATGTTCGAGCTGCCGCCAGCCTTCCTTCCGGGCTGGTGGTGGCTGCTTTATTATATATGTTAGAAATATATTCTGAAGAAGGAAAGTGGAAGGAAACGACAGCTGGGGGCTTAAAGGAGAACTGGGACACAAGAAGAAGGCCAAAGAACAGGGAAGGAGGAAGGCCGTTCTCAGGCGGCCTCCTGGGGCTGAGGACGCTTCTTTCAGCAGATCCCTTCCCGGAGACGTCCCCAGGTGGTGAGAAAGCCCTGGCAGAGCGCGGCTTCCCCAGCCAGACCGCCCACCTGCCGCCCCTCACCCACACGGCCGCTTCTCTCTGGAGCCAGCCTCCTCCTCGTTGAGTGGCCCGAGCCCCTCTTCAGCCTGGCGAGTGGCCTGGTGGGCATGGCCAACCAAGTGCCCCTCTCCTTCCCGGAGGCCTCGAGCCAGCCCTTCCCCATCCCTTCGGGCTCCTCAGTGCAGTTCACGCTGCCCGCCTACCCGCCAGCGGCCAAGGGCTCCTTCCAGCTGCCCATAATCCTGGACTACCCGTTCCCCCAGCAGCCGCCGGTGCCAGGTGAGCTGGGCAGCCTGGAGCAGAAGCCTTTCCACAGCCCACCGCTTTCCACCATCAAGACCCTCACAAGCTTCTTCCTCGCCGACCCATCGTCATGCGGGGGGGGGGGGGC